AAAACTATAAATTAAAGCTCCTCAAGGAAAAAACAGGGGCAAATTTAGGGGCCCTAATTTATGGCACAAATAGACTATCAAGCCTAACCCAAAATGCACAAACAGCATAAGATAAACTAGGTGATTCAAACTTTCTAAAAAATAAACTTTATTGTGTTTCAAAGGACTACTCCAAAAGAGTAAAAAGAGAACCTACAGATTGGGAAAAAATATTCAGTAATGACATACCCAATGAGGGACTTCTTTCTAAAATTTATAGGCAACTCCAACACCTCAACAAGACCAATTTAAAAATGGACAGAAGACATGAATAGACACTTCCCCAAAAAAGATAGTCAGGTGGCCAAACAAACACATAAAGAAATGTTCATGATCATTAGCCATTAGAGATGCAAATCAAAACGAGATACTATCTCGCCTCAGCACTAATAGCAAACTTCAACCACACAGAAAATAACAAATGATACTACTGGTGGCACTGTAAAATGATACGACCACTGTTGAAATCAATATAGCGATTCCTTAAAAAGTTAGAATTAGAAATACCATCTGATCCAGCAATCCCATTACTAGGTATATATCCTACAGAAGTGAAAGCCAGGACAAGATCAGATATATACACATCCATATTCATCACAGCACTATTTACAATAGCAAAGAGATGAAAAACCTAAGTGTCCATCATCAGAAGAATGGTTAACTAAACTATGGTACATACACACAATGGAATACTATGCAACACTAAAGAATAATACAGAATCTGTAAAACACCACATAACGTGGATGAACTTGGAGGACATTATGCTGAGTGAAATAATTCAATCACAGTAGAACAAATATTGTATTAGTTCACTATTGTAAAAAGCCAAGGAAAAGTTAATCTATGGAAGGAAGCTTTCTTTGTTGGTTACCAAGGAGGGGAGGGAAGGAAACACTGCTAGATAGGTAGAGACAAGTACTGATTTGGTTGAAGGAATGGCAATGTACCAAAAGCAAGTGATCAACACGGTGGCACTGAGGAAGACAGAGAGAGGGACTCTGGAGGTACAGACGACAAAGATGAACCTTTCTGCATGCACAGTACAGAGTTGTCAGGGATGGCAAGCATTAATCTATGAGTGGATGGACAGGTGGACAGGCTGCATGAACAAGTATGTCTAGGCAGGGGAGAGCATGCCCATGCCCATTTATAGGGTTGGCAGACGATGTTTCAACATGAGTATTTGTATGTGCTGTAAGAATGTCTGGGTATGTAGTGAAGCTGACAAGGGGCAAGGTTTTGGTGGCTTCTTGGACACAGCTAGCTACCCTGAGGGAGCAAGTAGTTGGACCTGTGAGCCAGGACCATGGTCAAAGGGGGCATCAAGTTCAATTGGCATACACACTACAAAAAAAAAAAAAAAAAAATGTTCCACATCCCCCTTTGGTTAAGTAGTGACTTGGGTCTTAAAAGCTTGCAAGCAGCCACCTGGATGTAACAATGGTTCTTTCCTCATCCAGAGTAAAGAAGAATAAAGAAAACCAGACTCGTAGAAACAGTCGAAGGGATTAATATAGACCATGTGATCCTTAGCCTTTACACCATGAGACCAGAAGAACTAGATGGTGCCTGGCTACCACTGTCAACCACTCAGAAAGGGATTAGTGCAGGAGATCCTGGGTAGAATGGGAGAACAATGTGGAACAAAACTCAAAATTATAAAAAAACAAAACAGGTTTACTGGTCTGATAGAGCCTGGTGAAACCCCTGAGAATATGGCCCCTAGTTACCCTTCAGGTCTGGAATTGCACTCACTCCTGTGGCTTCCAGCCAAACAACAGACAGGCATATAGGGTGAACATTAACATCAGGTAGATACACTCCTAGGAGTGATCAATCTTGGGAGAACAGAAGGGCAGTGTTTGCACAGGGAGACAGCTCGGGGTGGGTGGAGGGGAGTGCACAGAAGGGAAGGACACAGGGAAGAGGTAATTATGGGGAGGAAGTGGGAAGAGAGCTGTTACGCTGTGGGGAATGGCAGTCAACATCATGAAACTAAGTGTGTATGAAATGCTGTATGGAAAATGAATTTACTCTGCAAACTTTTACTCAAATCACAATAATTTTTTTTTTTTTAATTTAAAAAACAAAACAACAACAAAGACACTGGCGGAAAGATGGCCAAACAGAGAAAAGATCCTCAGGACAAAACCTCAAGAACAAGGATATTTAAGGGATAGGCTTCAGAAGGCAAGCCTGCAAAAAAGATGGAGAAAGAGGCGGCAAGATGGTAGAAAGAGAACTAGGAACAGACAGTACAATGGAAGCAAAGTGAAATTCAAGAAAACAAATCGACTTGATTCATTCTTTTTAATGGCTGTGCAACATAACGTAGTATGGACGTACAACAATGTAATAAAAAAAGTGAAAACAAAGAACTCAAACAAGGAAGTTAAACAATGTCAAATGCTCCAAAAAGACAAAGTTCTTTTGTATGAGAAGGGGAGTCCATCAACCTTACAGGAGTGATGCAGGGATTAAAGTACAACATACATGATACTTCCCTTATAAAGAAGGTATCAGTAAATCATTTTTCTAGATAATAGTTCCTGTGACTCACATGTGGCTCAGATTATACTTTTACTCCCAGATCGCTTTCAATCATTCCTGCAAGTAACAAGTTATTGTGATTTTACTAATGTGGCTTTTTTGTGCTTCATTTTCTCCTCCCAAATAAATGTGCCTTTTCTTCCTCTTCTAATGACATCACCAAAACTTCTGATGAAGGTACCAAAACCTTTGACTTATGGAATGCACCAAAACTTATGGACAAATTGGCAGGGTAAGTGACATTTTATTTCTGTTCATTTCATTAATGTAGATCAGCTCTGGCTGATTAGTTCTCTCTCAAACATCAGTGAGAATGGCTTTGTAAGGTGAACAAAATGCTGTGACTGTTGCTTTCCTGGGGGGATTTAAGAGTTTTTGCTTATTGTGTATGTGTATGCACAATGTTCCGTGGTGGTACAAATGGTTTGTGGTTGACTGCTAACCTAAAAAGTTTGGCTGTTTGAACCCACCCAGCAGTACTGTGGAAGAAAAAAAGGCCTGGTTTTCTTGATTTCCAGGAAAATCCTACTAAGCAGTTCTACTCTATATACATGGTACCATGAGTCAGAAATAACTCAAGGGAAGTTAACAATATGTATGTGCACATGATACTCTTAAATTTTCTGCACTTGTTTCTTTTCTCTTCCCCCACAACACATAAAATATTGTAGCTTTCTTTAGAGTTTTGGGGGAAGTATGTGCCAATCCAATAAAGGAGATAAGAAAAGTAGGTTGGGAACATTATTTTATAATTCACTAATATGTATCAGTACTTTTTAAAGTTATTCTATTAAAAAAAAAAACTAAAGAATATTTGAAGATCAGAAACTAATAAGTCATCACATACTTTAAGAAGATTTACCACTTGCTTTTTAGGGCTTTATTGACTATTAGCAAGTTTCAATGTATTTCAAATAATTAAATACTGCAACTGGGACATTAAAAATACAAACTAATTTACCAAAATAATTGTATTCTGAATATTATGTACAATATTATACATTATACATATCATAAAGGGTTTTTATACATAAATGTAAGATTTATGATTATTAAAGATCCAAAATACCTTTGAACAAAACATCCCTATGAATACATACACACTCACTCAACTGGGATAATCAAAAGCATACATGAATGTGGTTATCAAAATATAAAATTATATTCATATGATAATGGGAGAAACAGAAATTTACCTTTATTAATTTAAGTGTGGCTATTACAGAATCAGAGACTTATGAATTATATTCTCTAGTTCTTATATATTTAAAAAGCTTTATGCTTACAAGTGAAATATGTCTCTATTCAAGGGGAGTTTTTTTTTTTTTTTACTGTAATTCATAATCATTAAAATGCCTTACACATAGGCAAGAAGCAGACCCAATCCTAGCAAACAGAAAATCATGAGGGTATATCATATCACCATCTGTATCTTGTAGTTTTGAAAAATAACCCTATTATAGTTTGGTATATCTTAATATTCATAGTCATTATCAAATTGATTATGTGTTGCGACATACAGCTTACAGGGTAAGTATATACTATCGTAGAGAACTAGCTATTGAAATGATGAGATCACTGGGTGACTTCAGAACAAAAAACACTGAGAATGGGTTCTCACGTACAAAATAGCATGCATACACACTTAAGTTTTTAAACGTGTCAGTCCTTCAAAAAGGTTAGTATTCTGATGTGTTACACTTTGTTTGACACTGAAATATCTAATTAATCCAGGATACTGTCTCATGAGTAATAGTACTATTTTAACTTAAAATTTAGTTCTTCTCAAGCGGAACAGCTATGATTTTAAGTTTGTTAAAGATTTTTGTAATTTATCTGAAAAAAAAAATTGAAAAGCAGTATCTTTACTCTGCAAAAAAAGAGTGCCTTTCCAAGTGCATGCCACTCTGTACATGGATCTCACTCCAGAGACAGAGACAAGTGAAAATTCTATCAGAAGCCAGGAAGGTCAGCAATTAGTAAACTGATGTTTCTCTTAAAGTTTACCCAGAATCCTGCAGTTTCACTATCTTGATATCCTGTACTTTACCAAAGTCAAACAGAACATTTGGGAACTACAGAATAAAAGGTAACAAGTTGAAACATATACAAAATTAATGTTCTTTCCAACATCTCATAATCTACAAAAAATGAGATGCAAAGCCTACAGTCTGCTTTTATTGTTTTCTTTCTTGTTCGTGTTTAGCTTGAATATAAAAGAAGCTCTAACCTAGGTTATCAAAATATATTCATAGAAATGTATGAGTATTTCTAATATAAAAGTTAAAAAAAAAAAGTCTACATTCTTAATTTCTGCAATTAAATATCCTAGAGTTCAGTAGGCAGATTTATTTTCAAGCAGCTTGGGAAGAACCCGTTGGCTGAGCACTGTCTTTGACACTGGACACAGCTACATTTCGGCTCTTCGATGTGATTTCTCGGCAACAGCAGCCCCATCTTCTTCCTCCTCTTCCTCTTCCTCGTAGGGTTCCTCTTGGCCTTTGGGGTGGTTGTCCTCTCGGACTTCTTGCTCTTCTCCATCATTGTTTTTATCATCAACCTTTAGAGAAAAAAGAAAAACCAGGTAAGGAGTAGGGAGTAGAGTTAGTGATACAAACAAATCCCTCAAAAAAAAAAAAAAAAAAGATTCAAAATGACTCAGTTTTGGTGAAAGGAAACAAGTGACAAAAAATGATCCTTCAGACAACAATGCTCATGTATCCTAATCCTCATGTTGTCACAACTTTTCCTAATTCTAAGGAGGCCTGTTAAACTCAGTGGCACCATCATCACCCACTGGGGTATCAGAAGGTTGGGAGGTACGAAGTTTAAGTACATGGCTACTAACTGAAAAGTTGGCAGTCTGAACCCAACCAGTGGCCTTGCAGGAGAAAAGACCAGGCAATCTGCTTCAGTAAAGATTACAGCCTTGGAAACTCTATGAGGCAGTTCTACTCTGTCCTAGAGGGTCACAAGGCGTTGAACACCCACTCAGTAACACCTACCAATCGACCACCACCTCAGGGCAAGCAAGCAGGACTTTGAAGAGATCTGTTGTCTTTTAAGCCCCTGCTGAGGATCTGCATTTCCACCCTAGATACACTGACTCAGAACCTACAGTTTAACAAGATCCCCAGGTGACTCTTATCTTATGTGTACATACAATACACTCCCATGTTCTTATGTATACCAGAATGAACTAGTTTGAAGCCCTGCAAGCAGGTTAGCATTCTTTGACCAAATTTATACATATATAAATATAACATATTATTTATCTTCTGCACCTTGTCTGAACACTGAGATATCATACACATATGAAAATGCAATAGAAATTTATATCCTAAACATACATTTTCATCATTTTCACCATAGGTCTCTTCAGCATTATGATCCAATTCCCTTTTTTTCTCTTCAGTCAAATCTTCCTGAATCTAAAACAAACCAGAGGTACTTGCATAACACTTTTATCATTTAAACAATTCCAACAAGTTCTGACCTCCAGAAAGTACACTCAAAGTAACAGAAACAAAACTAAACTTAAAAAAAAGGAAAAAAAATAAAAATCAAAGGTGTGACTTATGTATTAGATACAAAGAAATGTATACACTTACTATAAAAGTCAATGTGACTGATCCTAAATCAAGGACTTTGTGTTTGAATTTCTGATTTCTTTGGATAAGGATTAACACTCTCAAGCCTAACACCTGGAGAAATTCAGTTTATAAATCTAAAAATACTCCCTTTCAAAGTAGAAAGAACTGTAGTCTGAAAGCTCTGGTATGTTTTAAGTTGTACAGAGGCAAGAGGCATCTATTTCACTGAACTCACAAATTTCAATAACCTGGTTGCACACCTGGCACAATTACAATTGCTGAATAAATATTGCGGAATAAATGACTCAATGAAGGAACAAACAAATCAACACAACAAAAATATATCTGCTCTGTAAAGGCACAGCAAATAGACATCACTGGTTATATACAAAAGAGCCCTGGTGGTACAGTGGTTAAAGCGGTTAGTGCTAACCAAAGGGTAGGCAGTTCAAACCCACCAGCTGCTCCACAGGAGAAAGATGTCAGTCTGCTTTCGTAAAGATTTTAAAAAAACAAACCAAATTCACTGCTGTCGAGTTGATCTGACTCATAGAGATCCCTCCTTGGGTTTCTGAGGTGGTAACTCTATGGAAGGAGATCACCCAATCTTCCTTTCAAGGAGTGGCTGGTGGGTTTGAACCACCAGCCTTTTGGGAGCAGTCAAATGCCTTAGGCAATACGCTACCAGAGCTCCCCTCGTAAAGTTTAGAGCCTTGGAAACCCTACAGGGTCACTATGAGTTGGAATCAACTCCACAGCAATGAGTATGGTTTAGCCTATATACAAGATAGTAACAACTTGCTGTATTTATGCAATAATTAATAATGAACTTCTCTATCAAAAATAACTAGAAAATTGCACGTGATTATTTCAATTTTTTCATAAAATAATCTATTACACTGCCTCAAATCCTTACCCTCCCTTTAATGTTCTAACATGACATTTCGATTTTAAGTAGTTTTCCTTTATATACTCAATTATTACTGTGTTTCATTGATTCCAATTATTCATCCCAAAATGCAAATCAAAGCAGCCTAATGATATGTTTGCTAAACAGTCTCTAATAAATATGATCACATTCCACAAAAATGCAGAGTAAGGTGTCTTCTAACTTGCTGACTGTCTTAAAGACTGTATTATGTCATAAGATTTAAGTTAGGTGAATACAGTTTTAAACACTGTTGAATATCAGTTAAACATAACGTAGTATACTGGTACCAAAAGAAAAACTGATCTCTTCTAGGACTTTGGTAGGAGTTCTTCTTGAATAACACAAAACTATAGAATTTTGGGGGAAGTCTATGTGTTGAAAATCTAAAAAAAATGTGCCAAGGAAGGAAAGCATGCAGGTGCTATAATGAAGAAGCACCATATTACAGGCTGTCTCAAGGTGTCCAGTCCAGATGAGACAGGAATGAACTGCTGTCTCTCAGACCAGTTTTGGGAGGAACATGGCCCATCAGGAGCCCCCAGAGATGAACCTTCAGAGATGCCCTAGACAGGGCCACGCCTTCTTGACTCTCTTCTAACCAGCCACTATACTAACACCAAACACATTCTGAGGACCTTGGCACCAAGTATACTTTGTATTCACATTTTCGTGGTGGACTGAGCTAAAGAGAAGACACTTTTGTCTTACTTTATGACTTTATCAAAGAGCTCTGTTGGCACAGTGCTTAAGTGCTAGTTGCTAACTGAAAGGTCAGTCGTTTGAAACCACTAGCCAATCTGCAGTAGAGAAAGATGTGGCAGCCTGCTTCCATGAAGATTACAGCCTTGCAACGCGGATAGACCAGCTCTACTCTGCCCTATAGGGTTGCTAAGAGTTGGAATCAACTTGATCACTGTGAGTTGGTTGGTTTGGTATGGCCCTATCAGTGGTCCATGACATCTATTCTGCCCTGTGTCACAGAACTTCACAGTAACACTCCATAGGACACTGGGATAAGAAAAATGAAATACTTATTTTTATAATATATTAAGATCTGATGAAGCGATGCATCAATAAATTGCTGAAATGGCCCTGTTTATTTCTAGTAACAAAACCATGTCATCCAAATAACCTTAATAATGAAAATAAATTATTAGTGAACACTAAACATAGTAGTTGGGGGTGGGGGACTGACTTGAAATTATGCAATATGGTAGCGAGAATCTATAAATCAGAGGTTGGACAATTTTTCCTGTAAAGAGTTGGATAGTAAATATTTTTGGCTTTCTGGCTGTAACTAACATCTTTGTCACAACTACTCCATTCTACAGTTGTGGTGTAAAAGCAGCCAGACAATAGGGTAAGCCTATGGGCCTGACCCTGTTCCACTAAAATTTTATCTACAAAACACACTGCAAGTCAGTTTGTCCACCTACATACAGACTATGGAGTCTGACAGACTTGAACTAAAACCTTGGCGCCACAACTCTTCCAGCAGTAAGTACGTTTGTTCTTACTATGAAAAATTTCAAGCGCAAACAAATGATGGAAGAAATTTAATGAACCTCTTATAACCACCATAAAAGTTCACGAGCTCTCTAGATGTCGCCACGCTTGCATCATCTATCACTTTTCTATTTCTGTTTTGATGAATTACTAAAAAAAATTCTAGACATTATGAATTTTACATCTGTGTGCATCTCTAAAAATAACAGACATTTGTTCATAAAGCCATAATGCAATTTCCACACCTGATAAAATTAGTAATACCTTAGTATCATCTCATAGTCCATTTTCCTAATTTTCCTTAAAATGACTATTATAATCATGATCCAAAGGCTTGGTTCCACTCGCCTCCTTTATCCTTAATGCTACTGACCTATCCTGTAAAACCACATTCTGGTTTGCTTCTTTGTGGTGTCACCACTCATTCATCCAGTACCCACATTCCTCTAAATAGAAGTGAGCTTAAAGGTTTGTATGCACTCAGGTTCTACTTAAAAAGTACTGGTATTTCAGAGGTGGACTACACATCTATTCCATATTTTCCTTGCATCAGAAGGCACATCAAGTTTGTTTGTCCCAATTTTAGTAAGGCTAAAATTGGCCAGCAAGCATAGACAGTGACAAGCTGATCCTTCCATAGCTCCCCAACCTCCCTTCATTTAGTGATTTTACTCATCAAGAATTTCTTGAATCAATTATTATAATTATCAGTCAAAAACTGGCGACTTTCTATTTCTATCATCCCTTCTGTGTTTACTAACTTTTATAAAGAAGAACTTACCAATAATGGCTATTTAGTTAACCTATGCTACATTCTGTACAAGAAAGGCACAATAAACTCTTAAGTCTTTCCTAATAATTGCCAATTTTCAGCATTAAGAGTTGTTAATCACTTCCAAAAGTGTCCAGTGAGGGAGAGAAGAGTTATTATCATCATTATACCTATTCCTCACTTATCAAATGTCTTGTTATCCAACATTTTGCATTTATAATAAAAAATCGACTAGGTTTTTTTTTTTTTTTGCATTTAATGACATATATCTGGGATATAAAGGAGCTCTGGTGGTGCAGTGCCTAAGGCATTTGACTGTTACCAGCTGCTTCATGGAAGGAAGATGGGATGATCTACTTCTGTAAAGATTTACCACCTCAAAAACCCAATGGGAGTCACTATGAGTCGGAATCAACTCAGCGTCAGTGAGTGCTTTTTTTGGTTTTATTACCTGGCAGTAATGAAGGAAGGCTATGTGTCAACTTGGCATATAAGCAAGCTGTTTGTGGTTTGGCAGTTAAGTAACGATGTAGTCATCCTCCACTTTTACGTAACACCAAGTTTCGAGTAACAACCTGCTCTTCGGAACCTAACAACGTTCATAAGTGAGGAGTGGGTATATTATTACTTACTTTCATTCTTTCTTTTGGAGAATCATTATACTTCTGGGTCTTTACATATTCAGTGTATTTCAATCACTTACACTGTTCTTTTTTATGATCACATTCTCCCATCTTTGGCCATGAGAATTCCTTCATATGGGCTCCTATGTCTTTTTTATATAACCTTAACTCATGAAAGACAATGAACTAGTATAAGGCTTACTTTCCTTATATGTAAAATGGGAATTAAAAAAAAATATTATCTCTTTTGGCAGGTGACAAAATTTGGGAATAATTAGAGATAATGCTTGGGACACTGCATGACACCAAATAAATCTTCCATTATGGCAGTCACTAAAATCAGACCTGAGTGGGTTCTAATCATGATTCTAACAATAACAAGCAGTGTGGCTTTCAATAATTTAGTTAATCTCTCTAAACCTCAAATTTCTTATCTGTGAAATAAACAGGTTGGATAAAAATCATCATCTTCAATTTTCTCTGTGTGTATATAGTGAGAAAGGAAGAGCCATAGACCCTTTTTTAAAGATTTTGATAAGAAAGATAGAAATGAGCATAGATACACAACATTCTACATTAAAGTTTCAAGAGCCTTGGACTTCGTGAAGCTCATCCAGGGTTGCATGCTCTAGAACAGTTTATCTAAACAGTGTGGCCCACAACCATCAGCATCAGTTGGCATGCCTGTGAAAAATTCAGATTCCAAGGCCACAATAAGGCCAAGGTCAAGATCGCCAAGGGTAAGATCTTGTAGAAATTTGTATTTTTCATATACTCCCCAAGGTGATTTTTAGCCACGGCAAAAACTGAGAACCACTCCTTTTCCTTGAGCGACAATGTTAAGAATGTCTCTGGGTAGTGAAATCATCACTCTTTTACAAAATTTTTCTTTTCTACATTTGGAATTTATTGTAGAAAACGTATCTTAGCAGTTGTCAATAAAATCTGAGTTAGGAACCACTGATTAAAATCCACTTTAGATAACCCAAAAGTGATAGACTCTTAGATACACTTTGTATTTTAGTAATATATTATCTGTGTTTGGGGGCAAAAATAATTCAAATTCCTTTTAAAGCCATTAGTGAAAAGGAACAAAATGATAGGGAGTTTTCTAATTGACCTTTAAAATATGCTTAGATTCATAACCTCAAACCAAATGTCATTCTTTTATAATGTAGATACACCAATTACATCTTCCACATCCGACCTTTCTTATCCTGCTGAAGCAGACACAATACTTTATCAAAGATTTCCCAACACTGCTCCTCCTTACTCATTTTTATTTTCTGAAATCTAATGTTGTATGCATTTTAGAACGGAGCCCTACATGATTTGGCAAAGTTTATAAATGGCAAAAAGAAAGACGGGAAAAAAAACCACTAAAAACAAAAACTGATATGCTGAGTTCTGAAATGGCTTTGGCTAGCTCTGACTCTGTATGTGTTAATGCTTTTCTTTCATCCATCAAAGATGTGGAATGAGATGTGAACAGGTAAGCTGAACTTTAAGCTGTCAAAAGTGCTGGGATCCAAAGAGGTAGATAACTCAAACTCACTGCCATTGAGTCGATTCAACTCATAGCAACCCCTCCTTGGGTTTCCAAGGCAGTATCTCTATGGAAGTAGACTGCCCAATCTTCCTTCCTCCGTGCAGTGGGTTTGAACCGCCTGCCTTCTGGTTAGCAGTCAAATGCCTTAGGCACTATGCCACTGGACCTCCCAAAAAGGTAGATGGAATGCGACAAATGAAAAGCCTATAGCGAAGCGAGCTACAGTGATAACCACCACTGCTGAGTGATGTTTAACAGGACAGTCTCTGCCATCTGGATTGCTTCCTGATGGGGTGGTTCAAAGACAGGCAGTCCCACATAGGCGTGTGTACATATCTGGCCACTGAAGGTAGCCATACAACCTCATGCTGTGCTCTCTCTGGAGAGTTCGGATCAATCTGTTTTCAGTTAACTTGGTAAACCAAGGGACTCAGGTTTTTCAAGTCATTTAACCATGTATTCTTTTCTGCACATTTAAATAATTTTGAAATGCAGCTAGTACTATCTGGCAATGCCATCACTTGTCCTGTTGCTCACAGTCTAAATAACCCAAACCAGATGCTGACAAGTCAATTCTAACTCATGGTGATACTGTGTGTGTCAGAGTAGAACTGAGCTCAATACAGATTTCAAGGCTGTGACCTTCTGGAAACAGAACAGTGGGCCTTTCTTCCAAGGTGCCTCTAAGTGGATTCGAACTGCCAACATTTTGGCTAGCAGTAGAGCATGGAACCACTTGCACCACCCAGGGAGTTCTTGTGTGCTCATAAATAGATTAAAAAAAAAAAAAATTACGAGATGTAAGTAACTTAAGGATGGAATCACGAGATAAATGTATTTCTTCCTCACAATCCCAAACAAGAAACAAAGAACACTTGCTGATAATAGTCATTTTTATGTCTTAGAAGAATAACATTGCTGCACTAACATGAAAGAAGGTAGGGATACTGTACATTTCCTAAAAGTCACTTGCTTTGTGATACAAAATACCCGCAATCCTTACAGAAACAACAGAAGGCAGACACAGAGTAATCCCTCACAGACAGCCAGACACTGTGGGAGAGAGATCCAGCAGATCTGCTGACTCAGGACTATAGCACTGGAGGACACTAAACTCGATTGGCACAACAAAATACATAAAAATCTTGTTCCTCATCCTACACTGGTGAGTAGCAACTGGGGTCTTAAAAGCTTTCAAGGAACCATCTAAGATGTAGCTAATGGTCTCCTATCATCAGAAGCGAAGAGAGGTGCAAAAACACAAGGCCATTTGGAAGCAATCAGCCCACAATGGCCCTCGAGACCAGAAGAACTAGATGGTGCTCGGCTACCAATGCCAACCACTCAGGAAAGGATTAAATCTGGAGATCCTGGATAGAGTGGGAGGGAAAATGTTCAATGAAATCCCAAAACACTGTAATGACCAGAATTACTGGTCAGATGGAGTCTGATGAGATCTCCATTACTATGGCCCTGGGATACATTTTGGGCCTGGAATAAAACTCACTCCCAAGGGCTGGCTCTCAGCCCAATAGTAAACAGGATGTACATGCAGACCACTCAACACAGGGTGACGCACCCACATACTCTATGAAAATGCATCCCTTGGAGCAATCGACCACGGGGCACCAGAGGGGCAATATTTGCATGGAGGAAATGCAGGACACACAAGAGTGCATAATGATGAGCAACACAGGGGGGAGAGGGGTTACTGAGCAGGGAGGGAAGGAGACTGGGTTAGAGCTGTTGTTGTTGTTGTTGTTATGTGCCGTCAAGTCGATCCCGACTCATAGTGACCCCTCCTTGGGTTTCCGAGGCAGTATCACTATGGAAGTAGATTGCCACATCTTCTTTCCGAGGAGTGGCTGGTGAGTTTGAACCGCCAGCCTTCTGGTTAGCAGTCAAGTGCCTTAGGCACTATGCTACCAGAGCTCCCGGGTTAGAGTTGGGGATGGGGGAAAAAAAAAAGTCACTTGTTTTGGGTCTTTTACTCTCAGAGTTCTAATCTACAATTTTGGTGGGCTGGACCTGTGGAGCAGGTACAGTTCTGCAAAATATAATTTCTCCCTAGGAGTAGATGCTAATAGAGAGAGTTTTGACTGTGGGATGGCACTGATGGCAGCAGTGGACCTTACTTTCTAGTGGATAGCTAGGATAGTCAGAGGTCTCAGATTTAATAGACTGAAAACAATGCAGAGTTATATATAGTATTTTATAGTTTTCAGTGATTCCATAAATGTTGTTTCATACTTATACACTTAGAAGTAACGCAATATGTTTTTTCACATACTGCTTTCTCATTTTTCTCATTTTGCTGAAGTCCATTTCATGTGTAACTCTTACTAGTCCTTGTGTGGTATTTGGACACCACTCTTTTCCTCCACTCTCAAGTGAAGAACTAGAATACAACGGAAACTGGTAGGAAGATCAATAACTGATCATCTCAGGAACTACCACAAAAATACAGCACAGTCTGAACAAAGGACATTGAGGGACAAAGTGGAAAGCTGCACAGTACAAAATCAAGGCATGACAGTCTTCCACTAGGGAAACAGATCCCAGACACAGGAAATCTGTACAGAGAACTAGGAAAAAGGAATTAGGGCCTGGGGCTAGGTGCAGAGAGAGAGAAAGGGACTTGTCAGTTCACGGAAGAGAAGGGAGCTGAGTGAGTGGCTGTCAAGGATGAAGTACCCACCACTAGAGGTCATTCCCTCTGCCTTCCCACCATTTCTCCTTTCTGTCTGTCTGTACTTTCTACCCTGTCTTCCTTGGATCTCAGGATTTCTTTCTCCACCTCAACTGATGATAATGTAGAAATAAAAAAACAATCAGTTATTTATTGATTGATATTTTATGTTTACCCTTCTGAATATTTAAAAAGAAGTTAAGGTGAACCTTTTCTCTTTTAGCCCCATAAAGATTCCTGGCATCTGACATAAAAAAAAAAAAAAAAATAGTATTAGCATAGACATCCCGTTACAACAGAAGCCAAATGAGTATCTTTTTCTTGGCAAATGTCTTAATATTCAAGGCTGCTAGTTTCTCAAATCCTCTCTTCTGATAAGGCATTTCAAGGTCCTGATTTAAGATCAACACCAGGATGAGAAAAACAAGAGAATAAAGACATTTCATGTGACTAGAGATGTTGCCAATGGTTGTAAAGAGCTACATCCATCTCTGTTTTCCTGGGCTAAGCACACATTTGAGCATTAGCTCCAAAAAGCTGGCAAGTGCAGTAAGAATAAGAACAAGAAAAGTCAACCTAGCCAAGAGAACTGTGTGAGTGCAGGAGCTGCACATGTAGCCGGAGCAGGGTCTCCAGTGTGGGGACAGTATTTGTCCAGGCTGCCATTTTCCCATTCTCTCATGCAGCTTCCTCTCAGCCAAACCCGCACACTTAAGAGACAGCCTGCTGAGAAGTGGCTAAGAACCAGGTTTTAATTTTTTTTAATATGAGATCCAACAACTGGTCTACAGAGAGTCTAAACACGGGGCCTTGACTGCAGAGCTTCAACAGTCCTCAGAGTGGAGGGCCGTGGCTGAATGGCTATGGGAACAAGCAGCATTCACCAATCGATCACATGAAGGTGGCACTAACGGAGATGCTGCACTAAATCTAATATTCCTAAAGTTTTCAATCAGCAAATTAAAGTGAAAAATTAAGAAATCCTATCCAAATGCAATTTATTCAACTGAGCTCCTCACATATTTTTCCTTTTTCTTTATTGTTGAATTTTAATTAAGATACTGAAATTTTAAGAGGGAAGAGGGCAAAAGGAATGGTTGAACAACTTACTGAAATTAAAAAAAAAAACAACAACAAACTCACTGCCGTCGAGTCGGATCTGACTCAGCGACCCCCTCCTTGGGTTTCCAAGGCAGGAGGTGTTAAGTCTATGCCAGTGAATACCATGGGTGTCCTGTGAGGCAGGTACTACGGAGAGGTCTCCAGAGAAAGTTACAAGCTTAAGCCAGACTCATTATACACAGCTTTGTTCTTCTCTCTTTTTGAGAGAAAAACAGGATAAAATACTCTTACAGAAGATCACAAAAATCTAAATCCACAATTCCTGGAAAAGCCAATGTGTTTTTAACTCAACATTTCCACGAGAACCAGAGAGGTGTGTTCTGTTTCCCTGTTTCTGTTATCTTCTAACTGGATGTCTCCACTGCCATGATCTATTTCCTCTTCAAACCACCTTTTTTTTTATCCTGCTTAGGTCTTTCTGAACATTTCTATACAAGGTGTGTCAAAGAAAATGCTTCTTAAGTTTGCTTTATAAGTAAGGTTAGTGTGAGAGACCGAGCAATTTGATCAGAAACCTGCATTAAATCTTACTACCTCCTCTTCCCCCTCTTCCTGGTACTGTTCATCAACATTATCTTCCTGCTGGTCTGGATTTCCTGCCATCTGTTGAAACAAAAGGGGAGGCTCACGTTACTGTCCATTAGAGATGGGTCTCACAGTGCTCTGAGACAAAGGGCAAGCACGCCACCATGAAAAGTGCACTTTGAATGCATCAGTGACCAGGAAATGATGAACAAAGCCCAAGATGTCCACTGCCACCTCTCTTGCAGGGCAGGTACATAATTTCATATAATGGCCTAAAAACTTTCTGACAATGTAGGTTATCACTAACCTTTTACAAAAACCAGTTTATTACAACATCCAGGTTAAAATCAGCTTTCGTAGAGGCATCTGCTTACCACCAAATGCTCCTCCATTTCTGCATTCTCTTGCTTTTGATTACTTTGTTTTTGCTCTTCATTTTCACCTGGCAGATTTTCTTCTCTCACTTGCTCAGCTTCCTCAAATTCATCTTCACCTTGATTATTAGGGTCGTCTGCTGGGTTTATATCCTCTACAGCTGCCCTCTATAAAATTTTAATAAAAAGTGACCCCACTTCAAAACCCAGGATCAAGTTTAATTTCATTTGAAAGGCCACACTTAGGCAGAAAATGAAAGCATCCTTCCCTGGATTGTTCAGATCTATTCTAGCCAAGCTTCATAAGTACCCAATTCTCCCACTGTCAAAAGATAGAGATCTTGTTTTTTCAGAGGTTGATGAAGCAGGATTAAGTACAAATAGCTCTTAAAACCCTACCATCACAAGTTATGCAAGCATAACTGAATAGATAACAAGAAAAATAGCTGGCAAAAGCAACAGGACCAGGTAGGAGGAAAAAAAAAAAATAAAAACAAATTAAAATGGATAACTGAGATGGGGAAATGGTAATACTTTCCACTGACAAGCTGATTTTTATACAAACTTTCCTTTCCCAACAATTTTTCATTGTAAGTGGGTGAAAAATGGAGGCCCCAGGGTGTGCAATCAGCACACTTAGTGCTAAACAAAAACAGGCTGGCCATTCAAGTCCACCCAGAGGCGCCTCAGAAGAAAGGCCTGGGGATCTACTTCCAAAACATCAGGTGCTGAAAACCCTACGGAGCACAGTTCTACTCCATAGGTGGGGTTGCCATCAGTCAGAGTCAACTGGACAGAACTGGTTTGGGAGCTTTGTTTTTGTGGGGTATGGGGAATGAAAAGCAGTGGAAAGGAGAGAGAGCCCACAGCAGGAAGGACACAAGAAGAGGGTCTGAAAAGGAGACAAGATAAGAGCAAGACTAACTCAAAAGTAAATGATCTATTTCTAGCATAGACCAAAGCTGCTTATAACAAACAGTACCATGAAACTGAAAAGTGCAACACTAGTAAGGGACAGGAGGAAAAAGAAGTAGCTAATCCAATATCTGGGGATATATTTTGAAAAATAACCCCCCCCCAACTCACTCTGTTTTCCAAGTAGTTATGAGTTACTGTATCAGCAAAGGTCCTTCCTAATTTTCAACTTTAGAATTATCTCAATTTCCCATTTGAGTTTCCAAATACACTTCCTCATAAAGAATTAGAATTTGAGAGACTGAGATGAGTAGAAATGTCAATGCTTATAAGAGCAATCTAATTTTTCCAGTGTCATATAGGACACTTGTTGAAGCATCAAATGTTTCCACATAGAGATAGAGAAAGCACAGAGTACAATTTAGTCTCTATGGGTATTCTCTGGACAACAAGATTCTTCTTCAATTCATTTATGAGCCTTGAACATGTTCAAGAGCTGACTTTAATCTCAGCTGATCTATTATCTGCACATCCCTGGCCACATACTTCATTCAAGTGCCAATGGTACTTCCCTGGGAATGTGGAGAGTGACAAATTGTCAGCTTCACCCTAAGCTCTAACTACTCCACGGTCTCTTGTCATATGGATTTCTTTTTGTGTTTTACTAATAGCTTTTGTGGCAATAAAAGAAAAACTAACATTTTCTCTTCATACATACTCCCAGGCTTTTGCTTACTCTCTCGCTCTCCCAGTTTTGTTCTTTCTTGAAACATTCCAGGGTTAGCATTCCTTGGAGAAGGCAGGTATGTTTTGTTACATCTCAGTGCAAGTTAAGTGGGAAAGCTGTTTGCATCAAGGTTGGTTAAGCAGCTATCAGGAAGAGTTTCTCAATGATTATCAAGCAAGGCTATGTATGAGTCCACTGGTTAAGCACTTAGCTGCTAACTGAAAGGTTGGTGGTTCAAACCCACCCAGTGGCTCCATGGAAAAAAGACCTGGTGATTTGATCCCATAAAGATTACAGCCTGAGATAGGCTATTGGGCAGCTATTTCTATCACATGGGGTCAATATCAGTTGGAATCAACTCCATGACACCCAACAACAACCTGGGACCACGGGATCCATATAAACAGTGCTTAAAATAATAGGATAGACAGAAATTTTAAAACATGGTGGTTGATTTACCAGCAAAAGTGAATTGTAAAAACTACCTATATACAAATTAGAGAACATATACTCTGTCAACAGCTGCTTGCCTTACTTGCAGACTGGACCAAGGCCCTAGATTGATCAGCTGACTTAGTCCTTTTTTGGTAAATACGAAGAACATTTCTGTTATTAGGCTTCTACTTATTTACAGTTTACTTTTTTTTTTTTTTTAATAGCATCATGGTACCTGAGCAACTCTTTTCATTTCTCAAACAACCTTTATCATATATTTATTAAAATGGCCACTGCACTGCTGGGAGATTACAGAAAGTTACACAACACATAAAACCCTAGAAGAGTACCAGACACACTTGAGAAAGGTAAATTTCCTTTTTCTGATACCCTCTCCAATTCCACACTTGCTCTTTCTCCACTGTTCAGAGTTACTATGTATTTTGATGCCTCTCAAATCTTTTCCCAGTTTTACCTTTATCAGTATAAAAGTTATCAGAGGAACAATCTTTTAATGTTTTCCCAAAGTAATCTTTAACCCATTCCTGTCACATATACATACACCATGGCTTATGGCCAATACTATTACTCATGTCATATGCTTATACAAGCCACTTTCCCTCTGTAGTGATGAAACAACACATGTATCTGGAGCCAAAGGCTTAGTGTTAGGCAAACTTGCACAGTTCCTTTCTACCTTGTGAGCTCCAAGTGTTATGACCAGAAGAGAGGACACTTACATCTGCTGGAGATTCTGGGTTAGCTTCTTGGGCCCTTTGTTCTTGAGGTTCGTGTCCATTATCTGTGTCTTCTGCTTCATCTTGGTGCTGGTTGTCTCTTTCATAGGCTAGCAAAGCAAAGAAACTAAAATCAGCCCAAGATAAGTCGACCAGGAATCTTCTTACCAACTCAAAAACCCCACCAGTTCTCTTTCCTAGAGACCCTATCCTCCAGTCTCTCCTCCATCCATGCTACCTCAGCAAAAGGCATTCTATCTTACTTTTGCTGAATAAAATTATGTCCTTTATCTAGACTTTGAGTCTAAGGAGACACTGTGGGTGAGTGACACCATTCTAACCCTCTGAAATAAATTCAGTAACAGATTTTTTTTTTTGCCCCACTGGGCAAAAAGCAAAAACTGTAAGAACTTTTCTTGATAGAAGAAAGTTCAGTCACTTGGACGTTGCTAAAATTACCAACTAATTTTTGGTAATATCAGAATAGCAAGGTATCAAAAGAAGAAACTAACCATGTTTCAGGAAAAGAAAGAAAGAACCACCCCAACATTTATACTCACATAAATATTAACTTGCTTCTTTTTTGGAGAGGGAAAAAAAGTTTAAATAAAGAGAATTTTAAGCACACAAAGGGAAGAACAAATAACTCATTAAAATAAGTGAGATGTAAGAAGAAATGTTAAATATGTAGAGTACTCAACTTATAGAAAATAAACACAAGCAGGGTAACTTGCCATCAGGTTTCAAGTGCACAGAGGGATTTATTAAATAAGGAAGGAAGCAAACTGTTCTCTAATCTTAATGATAATGGAACAAAAAGCTTAGAGAGCCACATGAGGTACATAATTTCTTGACTTTAACCACCCCCTCAAAAAAAAAAAAAAAAACCAAAACCCACTGCTGTCAAGTCAATTACGATTCACAGTGACCCTACAGGACAGAGTAGAACTGCCCCATAGAGTTTCCAAGGCTGTAAATCTTTACGGAAGTCAACTGTCACATCTTTCTCCTACAGAGAAGCTGGTGGATTTCAACCACCAATATTTTGTTTAGTAGCTTACCACTTAAGCATTGTGCTACCAGCACTCCTGTTCTTGATTATAAGGGCTATAAGAACAGGCTATTGAGGGAGTCCTTGCAAACACCTTTCTTTACAAAGGATGTGTATCTAAGTGTTAGTATTGTCAGAGAGACACTTACTTCCTAGTTCTAAGACCACAGTGAGCAATAGCTGATAAATGACATACTAGATGTTCACCATAAACGAAAATTACTATTGACTTAGATTTAAACATTTTTAAGACAATGATCTAAAGACTTCCAAGGTAAGGAAAAATCATATAAGTCCTAATGATAACTTGTTAGTAATAACTATTTAGTACACAGAAAGCTTAAACTATGAGGAAAATGTTAGGAAGCAGATTATCTTGGATGATTTGGGCTACTAATGAGCACTGTTTGGAGAATTAGGAAAAACATGCAACAACAACTAAAGATATACGATTCACAAATCCACCTTGCATTTACTCTTAAACATGCACATAGCTTGTTGATATTATGTAATATTACCAAGTACATTTATTAAACATTCATCATCTAAGAAGTCTCACCACCTCCTTCTTCTTCTTGGATCCCCTGATCCTCTGCTCCCTGAACAATATCATTATCCATAGCATCATAGTGAGCGTGTTGGCTGCAAGGGACACAAACATCAGAAACTCAGTGACACAAATTAAGTGGCCTAGTTCTGCATAGGTCATGTATCTTTAAAAGTAGTAACAAACAAGTTTTTCAACATTTTTTAAAAAGCCGTAATTTTTTTTTTTTTAAATGTACACAATTGGGTATAATAAAGATCCTATATGTACTTTCAAGAAGATCAAACACCTTTCAAACAACAAAATAAAGTTAAAGCCCACCAGGTTATTCTGAAACCTAAACTATAATTTTCAAGCAGAAAAAAATATATATATTGTTTTTAAAATTACTTTTTGGCATTTAATTCTCAAGAAGTACAACCCTACCTACATGAGCAATACGACCCTTTCAAGTTCAGGAACGACAAGTACACAAGGTTGTCTAGAATCTGCTTATGAAAAGCAGATGAGGGCTGTTTAAGTCCTTCCGGAGGGAAAGGCTACCTTAGCTGCTCCTGGAGCTGCTGCTGCTGCTGCTGGTCCTCCTTGTGCTGCTCTGCCTGCCTCTGCCGGGCCAGCTCTCTCTCCTGGGCCAGCTCTCTCTCCCGAAGTTGCTGCTGCTGCTGCTGTCGTTGCCACAGAAGGTGTCCCTGCAGCCTCTGCTGGTGCAAAGCTTCCTGGCGTTCTCTGAGCCTCTGGGCCTCCTCGGCCTGCATCATCGCCAGTCTCTGCTGTTCTAACTGCTCCTCAAATGGCGATCGGAATTTGGTACCAGGCTTGGTGGAAGGATGTATCTAGGGAAAAAGCAACTCAGTTCTGAACAGGAAGGGTCAACTCCTCTGGGTTATGCATAACTTCATTTCTTTCTCATGAAAAACCCAGGAGGAATGAAGTCTGAAGTAAACTGGCACCAGTATTCTTATTTCCTACTTTCTCCAAATGGCCCATGCTTCTTTTAGCAGATGAGGATATTGATTTGCTGGCATGTGTTAGATTTTTATGTTTCCTCTCAAAGGGTACAAAGGGCACAACAGAAGAAATAAATTTTAAACAGTATTTAAATTAAATGTTCCAAAGGCTCTGGTATAAATGGGCACTGGATAACCACACTAACTGGGGCAATTTGTGAGCTAAAGCTCTAAGGCTTTTCCATGATAAAGACCTAGGGATACTAATTAACTCCAGCGATGTACATACTAATCTCAGACTAAGCAAAACCAAAAAAAAATAAAAATAAAAATAGTGACAAATTTGAGATTGGGGTGTGAAAGCAGGAGTCAATTTTCTTCAAAACAATGAAAGATGGGCAAGAAGACAGAAAATATCTTCTGATTAAAGGGTCATCTGTTAAAGGAAGTCAAATTTTGCTTCCCAGTTGAGTTACCTACCTCCCCTCAACACAACCCACAGAATTCTCATCAAAAGAAAGAGAATTGATAGTTGAGGGGAATTAAATCTAGTAGGGGAACTATATTTGAAGAAGGCTGTGAAGGACACAAGACAGAAAGGTTTCTTTTTCCATGCTAAGTGTGCAAATACATAAAAACACAACTACAGGGGCCTTCATAACCACCCAGCCTAAAGCCCTAAGCATCTTGAAGTCTTGGAAAGATTTAAGCCAAAGAATTTCAGAGTCGTAAAGAAAAGGTGATCAGTATCCATGTACAGGTGGGATAACCTATTGTTGGGCATCTATTTAGAAATAGTGGAAAGAAAGGTACCAAGCTGCATTCAGGGTAGGTTTATGCTTTTAAGTTCTTTTAAAGTATCATTTATAATAATAATGGCTGTTTTTGTAAGAAATGGCAAATCTAACTTATATGAGAGGGGGCTGCTCAGTAAAGGGAGGGCGCCTGAGCAGACTGGTTAAACACATTCATCTGCTGGAGCATCCTTAGTGATAGATCAGCTTTTTGATAAGTGAATAACCACCATGAAGATGCATACGCAAAAGCCAACATACAACTGGACAGTAAATGGATCAGAGAGAAGGGGAATTTTGACCATAGAAAATGAGACTTTTCTTGGTCTCAAGATGCCCATGAGGTTTGAGCACATACTGGGAAGGTGCTCAAGTAGGTGCTCACCTCCTCTCCTTCCTACCTACTTAGAGGAACATTAGGGTGAATCTCCCTTACTATGCCCGATTGACCAAGAGAAGCACACTAGCACTCTCTCTTCCTTGATCATCCAATGTATGTAAGTGCTGCATTCTAATCTTTCTATAGCTATGTTACTAACATTACAATAGAAAACAATTATGTGCATCTGATTTAACGAAATCACTCAAATTTTTATTTTACAGATTATCATAGAGAGGAGGTTTTTTTCTTAATATTTAAAAATAAAGCCCTGTGCCTTATTCCAACCAGCAAAGTACAAGTCCAGAAGATGTGAAGTGGATGATCTTGTACCTCAGCATGAGCATGCCCTTCCAGAAGGTTGGTTTCTTCTTTTTGTTCACGCTGTTCCTTCTTCCAATCCTGATCCTGCTCCTCTGGCGAGGGATCATGTTCTTCCTCCAGGTGTTCTGCTTGCCCCACCTGCTCCATTTCCTCCTCTTCAAGTGCTTTCCTGTGCTCCTCTTCCACTTGATGCTCCTCAGGCTCTCTGGGTTCCGTCCCTTGTTGGTTCAGCACTGCTGGAACCTGAAATTCTGTCCCCTTCTGGGTGGGAGGATAAGGCTTAGTTTCTTCTGTTTTTCTAGGAACTGCTGCATGCTTCTGTCCCACATTACTATTTCGAGACACCTAGGCCAAGCACACCACTGGAAATGACACTTCTATTTCAAAATTAATTTTGAAATAACTTTTTATTTAATTACAATTTTTTTTGGTAATTTTTTTTATTACTGTATCTATGGGTCTACAAGAGGAGCTCTGGTAGCATAGTGCCTAAGGCACTTGACTGCTAACCAGAAGGCTGGCGGTTCAAACCCACCAGCCACTCCTTGGAAGGAAGATGGAGCAATCTACTTCCGTAGTGATACTGCCTCAGAAACCCAAGGAGGGCCGCTATGAGTCGGGTCTGACTCAATGGCATATAACAACAACAACAAATGGGTCTACAAGAGAAACAAAATTCTTGAGTCTAGAAATACATATTCCAGACCTAAAACTACAGCTGCAATGGAGTCACTTAACTCTTCTCATTGTGTAACCTCACCTACAAAACAGAGGTAACATAAGCAAAACTTCATCTCAAAAAACCGTAAATAACATGGAAAGTAAAAGCTGTAAGTGACCATGCTCCAAAGTAGACCCTTCCCTCGAAAGCCATCTAAATCCTGTTTCCCCTTAGAAAGGGGCAAAATCATCAAACTTCATAATATAATTTTGTTTTCAATAATTATTGATAAGATTAAGATGACAAATTGAGTTTATATTTTTATTAGTTTGACTTACTAATAAAAATGAGTATCATACATGGATATCCATGTCAGTTAAAAATATCTTACCCATTAGGCAGGATACAATAAAACATTTTTTCATAAATCGGAGTCTTTTGCAAATATTTTGTATTGTTAATGCAGAAACTGAACAGAAAAGAAAAGAAACTTCTTTAGGGTAGTCCTCTAAAATTGGTTGACTTAAATCTCTTTTCCCTACAAATTTCAAAGATTACTATGCTCTTCACTACTTACAGAGGGGAAAAAAAAAAGAGAGATGATAAAACATCAAGAGGAAAATATGTCAACCTTTTCCCTCTTAATTTTATCAGAAAAATAACTTCTTTCATCAAATTGCTCTCCTATAATAGAAGTAAATTTGAAGCTTCTGGCATTAAATTAGCAGAAATATAGTTATCAATTCAGATATCTGGACTGCATAAATAATAAACCAGAGGAAAATATCTGGGGACAACTTTTAGAGCTATACACTACAACACCACCTTTGCCATATCTGGCAAGTATGACATAACACTTCCCTGACTATAGATGAAACCTTATTTCTCTAAAGGGCCCTAAGAGCTTTTAAACACCTGCCATTTATCTTCACAACATTCTGGTGAGGAAGGTTAGCACAGAAAACACAACTGAAGCCATTAAAAGACTAATCCAATGTACCAACTATGATTCTGACTCATAGCAGCCCTATAGGACAGGGCAGAACTGCTCCACAGGATTTCCAAGGCTATAAATCTTTATGGAAGCAGTTTGCCTCATCTTTCTCCTGCAGAGAAAGCTGGTAGGTTCAGACTACTAACCTTTTGGTTAGCAAATGCTTTAATCACTGTACCACCAGAGATCCTTAATCCAATATACTGAGGATCAAATCAGGGTGGAGAAAGAACCATCAAGTCAATTTCAACTAATAGTCACCCTTTAGGACACAGCAGAACTGCCACACTGAGTTTCCAAGGTTCTTTAGGTTCAAATTGCCAACCTTTGGGTTAGAGCAAGTGAATGCTTTAACCACTGTACCACCAGAGCTCCTTAGCAGTAACATAAAACCAAAACAAACTCACTGTCATCAAGTAATATCTGACTCAGAACAAACTCTCCTGGGGTTTCCGAGGCGGTACCGCTTACGGAAGTAGATTGCCCCATCTTCCTTCCGAGGAGTGGCTGGTGGGTTTGAACCACCAGCCCTCTGGTTAGAAGTCAAATGCCTTAGGCACTACACCACCAGAGCTCCAGTAATAACATAAGACCCAGAAAAGAACAAGAGTCTGTGAGGATATTGACCATGTCCATTAAGTCATGCTCTGCTCTGGTGGCATAGTGCCTAAGGCATTTGACTGCTAACCAAAGGCTAGAGGTTCAAACCCACCAGCCATTCCTCAGAAGAAAGGTTGGGCAATCTACTTCTTTAGAGATATTGCCTCGGAAATTCAAGGAGGGTTCACTATGAGTCGGAATCGATTTGATGGCAGTGAGTTTGGTTTGGCTTTTTGGTTCTGCAAAGATTAAGGACACTCCTGTATGAAGTTCTCTGTACATAAACTTAATTACTTCCAAAAGACAGCAATTTGAGGGCAGGTATTCTCCACTATTTATTATTAAAAACAACTCTGTCAAGGGGAAAAATAACCGTATATTCCACTTTCATTACACAGGTGATTGCAAAAAAACTTTGTAAGAATCAATAAAGGTGACATTATTTTCAGTGTCCCACTATGAGAAATACTTAGGCCAAGACTTAATTTATATGGACAACAAGAATACACAAAAAAGTGGATTATGGGACTAGCACTCATACCCCTGGTAGTTTTATAAAGGCCTATTTATGAAAATTGTGGTGTGATCTTTGTGGACTTAGCGCTGTACCAAGTTGAAATATATTATCTACTTCAATACCTGAGTGGGTTGACTGTCACATCGTATCTTCCTGATCATTTAACTTTCTCACCCTAATAAAAAACCAAAGCAAAACAAATAAGAAAATCTTAAAAATCCAGGAACTACAGCTCCAGACCAGGAAGACAGCTACAAAGCCAATCAACTGGAAAAGATCCGTATCTGTGCCCAAACAAAAGAAAGGTGATGCAACAGTATATGGAAATTATGAAAAAAATATCATTAATGTCACATGCAAGTAAACTTTTGCTGAAAAGAATTTAAAAAATGGTTGCAGCAGTATATTGACAAAGAACTGCCAGAAATTCAAGCCAGCTTCAGAAAAGGATGCGGAATGAGGGATATCACTGCTGATATCAGATGGATCTTGGCTGAAAGCACAGAATACCAGAAAAATATGTGGCTGTGTTTCATTGACTATAAAAAGGCATTTGACCGAGCAGATCATAACAAATTATGGATAACATTGTGAAGAATGGGAATTCCAAAACACTTTTAAGTGCTCATGAGGAACTTGTACATATACCAAGAGGCTCTCATTCAAACAGAACAAGGGGATAGATCAAACTCATCGCCGTCGAGTCAGATCCGACTCACAGAGACCCCTCCTTGGGTTTCCAAAGCAGTATCACTACGGAAGTAGATTGCCCAACCTTCCTTCCAAGGAGTGGCTGGTGATTTTGAACTGCCAGCCTTCTGGTTAGCAGTCAAATGCCTTAGGCACTACATCACCAGATAGTGCATTGTTTAAAATCAGAAAAATGTGCATCAGGGTTGTATCCTTTCACTATACTTACTCAATCTGTAGACTGAGAAAATAACCTGAGAAGCTGGACTACATGAAGAAGAATGCAGCATCAGGATTGGAGGAAGACTTATGACAATCTGCAATATGCAGCTGACACTACCGTGGCTGCTAAAAATGAGTAAGACTTGAAGCATTTACTGACGAAGATCAAAGACTACAGCTTCCAGCATGGATTATACTTCAGCATAAAGAGAACAAAAATCCTCACAATTGGACCAATAAGCAACATCACAATATATGGAAAAAAGATTGAAGTTGTCAGGATTTCATTTTACTTGGATCCACAATCAAAGCCATGGAAGCAGCAGTCAAAAAATCGTATGATGTACTGCACTAGGCAAATCTGTTGCAAAAGACCTCTTTAAAGTGTCTGGTAGCATAGTGCCTAAGGCACTTGACTGCTAACCAGAAGGCTGGTGGTTCAAACCCACCAGCCACTCCTCGGAAGGAAGACTGGGCAGTCTACTTCCGTAGCGATACTGCCTCGGAAACCCAAGGAGGGGTTGCTATGAGTCAGGTCCGACTCGATGGGAAACAACGACAACAACAGCAACAAAGTGTTAAAGAACAAAGATGTCACTTTAAAGACTAACATGTGCCTGACCCAAGCCATGGCATTTTCAATTGCTTCATATGCATGTGAAAGTTGGGCAATGAATAAGGAAGAATGAAGACAATCTGATGCATTCAAATTGTGGTAGCAAAGAATACTGAATATAATGGACTGCTAGAAGAACAGACAAATCTGTCCTGGAAGAAGTACAGCTGGAGGTGAGAACGGCCAGACTTCCTCTCTCCTACTTTGGTCATTTTGTCAGAAGGGACCATTCCCCAGAGAAGGATATCATGCTTGGTAAAGTGGAGGGTCAGCTGGGGGGGTGGTGGGGAAGCAAGGCACTTAATGAGATAAACTGACACAGTGGCTTTAACGATGGGCTCAAGCACAGCAGAGACTGTGAGAATGGCATAGTACTGGGCAGTTTCTCATTCTGTTGTATACAGGGTCACAATGAGTCAGAATCGATATGACAGTATTTAACAACATAATAGCTCTTTTAAAGCAAATAAACCCAAATAAACACAAAAAAATTAATAAAGTCTGTCTCAAAAAAAAAAAAAAAAAAGCATCAGTGGTTTTCAATGCATGCTCCTGACCAGGTAAGACAACTTAGAAATGCACATTCTCACACCTCCCTCCAAATCAACTGAATCAGATACTCTCAGCCTGGGTCCACCAATCTGTTTTAAGAAAGTGACTCAACCACAGATTACCAGTTCACCCCTCTTACCTCCTGTGGCTCTTTGGCTGCTTTCTCTATTGTCCTGTAACCCTGTGGAGAATGTGCCACCAGGGTAGCATTTTGCTCCTCAGCTGGGTCAGGTTTTCGAAAGCTTGGAATCCTATTCAAAGTATCTTTCAACTGCTTATATTCTGCAACTTGAGTCTGCATACAAATTGCACAATCGGATGCAAATTGCACAATTTGAAGAGGAAAAAAAGATGTCATTCATAGATAAGTTTTGGAGTTTACTGAACACTAGACAAAATATTATACCTAAATACTAGTTAAGAGAAATATGCAGACTGTTCCCATGCATTAGGTCTTCTTACTTTGACATGCTTAACCATTTTTAAGCACATGCAAATTGGAATTAGAGTTAAAGGAAACAGAGAAAAAATACAGAAGACATGTTAGTTTCCCATGCTGCATTTAAAAGTCAAAATTTTATAAATACTTTCTAATGTAATTATTAAAAGTAAAACAACTATGCAACCAATGTTTTACAGCATTAAAAAACCTATAAAACATGACACAATTATATAAATACAAGTGCAGATATCTTTTACCAGTATTGAGTGAAAAAGAATCATAGGTTTAAAATTTATATACATACATACATATACATTTACACATAAACACATATATGCATACATATATCTCAATCACTCAGGCCACCTCATTTCTCCAAGTGGAATTCAAATGAAGTCCCTTACTGCCCAGAACTCTGTACGTGCTTTGCAATTCTGGGAAGCAGTGGCAGAGGCATGAAATGAAGCTGGTTTTTATTTCTCACTCCTGAATGTCCTTTTCTTCTAAACTGAGAAAACCATTAATGTGGACATAGGACTGAAAGAAGCTCATGTAGGTATGCATGTGCATAATGTTTTCAATAAAAAGGAACTAAAAAGGCAGGAAAAAACCCAAATACTTAACAAAGAAAATCAACAAGTACTATATATTAAATTTCAAGGAGCCCAGGTTGCACCGTGGTTAAAGCACTTGGCTGCCAACCAAAGGTTGACAATTTAAACCCACCAGCTGCTACAGGAGAAAGATGTGGCAGTCCGCTTTCATAAAGATTTATAGCCTTGAGAACTCTACGGGGCAGCTCTACTCCGTCCTATAGGATTCTCCGTGAGTCAGAATCGACTCAATGGCAATAGGTTTGGAACACTTAGCTCATCATATAAACCAATACCAATTGCCTAAAAAATAAATGCTGTGTAAACCCACACTTACAGAAACACATACATAAGAACACAGAACTCTTTTTCTAAGCAAGCGAAGCTTCCCAAACAGGGCTGTCTCCCATGGTTGCACAGCAGAGAGAGCAAGTGGAGGCTGAAATCTAGCCAGGTCTCTGGCTGCCAAAGCCATTCTCCCAGGCTCAGTGCTCTTCTATTTTCAAGGAAAAGTCACTGCTTGCCTTTTTCTAGTTCAGAGAGAAGTGGTCTGCTTGTTATAAATATGCCCAGAAGTGGCATATAATTATAATATTATAAGATTATAGTAAGTGCCTTGTTATAATCTGTACAAAGGTGCACCATATGGGCCGGCAGTAAACCTAATCTCAGAAATCTATCAAAACATTAGCAATCCAACTTTGCAAGTCAAAGAAAAAAAAAAGACATCCACACAGACATACTATTAATACTTTAAGATGCATTTAAGAACACAAACCTCAATCCTATCCTTTCTTCTTTTTCCTTCTCCTATATAACCCTTGAAGGCAGCAATGCTGTGTTTCTCAAATATTAGTGTGCATTAAGAATCATATAACATTTATGATATAAATTTAGGTTCCTGGCACTCTGCTCTAGAGATCATGATTCAATAGGTCTGGGGCAAGGCCCAGGTAACTGTGATGGAGGTAAGTCTCAAAAACACTGGCTTAAGAGTTAAGTTTAACTTTGATGTCAGGCTGATGTCAGACTCAAGCTCAGTTCTGGTTGGGCTAGTTACTTTTACTTCTTTCAGTCTCAGTTTAGTTAGTTATAAAAGATGTTAAGTCACAGAGTTGTGAGAATTAAGATTCTGTACATAAAGTTCTATGGTGACCCCTGACAAATCGTAAATTCTCCTATTCCATTTTATTCATGCTCTCACCCACCCACATAAAATATATTTAAAAATTAGGTTGCCAGGACAGAATATCGTAAGATGAATTACTTGTAAGTACAGATGCCCGAAACAGTATGTGTTTTCTAAGATCTGGGAAAAGTATTTTAATATGGGGAATAAGGGCAGGGCTCTAATTAAGTACTATACTTACTTTTAACATATTTTTTTTTTTTTTTTTAAGAAAAAAGGGGGCTGGACAAATTTGGAGCCACTGCCCAATAGAGTACACCTATACATTAAAAAGGAGCTCTGGTAGTATAGTGCCTAAGGCATTTGACTGCTAACCAGAAAGCTGGCAGTTCAAATCCACCAGCCACTCCTCAAGAAGGAAAGTTGGGCAATCTACTTCCATAGTGATACTGCCTCAGAAACCAAGGAGGGGTCACTCTGAGTCAGGTCTGCCGTGACGGCCCATAGCAACATCATCAACAACATACATTTAAAAACAAAACAAAAACACCACTGCCATCAAATTGATACCACAGAGCAGAACTGCCCCAAAGGGCTTCCAAGGGTGTAAATCTTTATAGAAGCAAACTGTCACATCTTTCTCCAGAATTTGGCTGGTGGGTTTAAACAGCTGAGCTTTTGATTAGCAGTCAAATGCATTTAGCCACTGCATATTACTGGGGGGAAAAAAAAATTCCTGTTATAAAATTCTGTTAGTAATACTCCCAATGTGCTTGATTTGGTCATTAAATGAACAATTTCATTTACATTTCTATGATTTTCAAATTGTTGCTTTGTTTAATATTCACGGCCATTGTAGGACATTAGAGTAAATTAAGTTTGTTTAATTAACACTTTGCTACATTTTACAATATGAAGAACAGCCTCATATAAAATAAAGCATTTCTTATAAACAACTATTTGAATAAAATAATCTCAATTTATACACATGAAAAACATTACCACATAGTTACAGTTTAGTAGGGGGACACCAATTCAGTGGCTGCCTTGAAAGAGGTCCCCCACACACATATGTTACAGCCTCTGAGATAATCAGGGCCCAGAACTTTCTATCTTTTAATAATTTAATTTAAAAAAAATACATTATCTCCTGATAAGCACTCAAACTCACTGCCTTCAGTGGGATCTGACCCATAGCGACCCCTCCCTTGGGTTTCCCAGGCAGTATCTCTAGGGAAGTAGATTGCCAAATCTTCCTTCCAAGGAGTGGCTGGTGGGTTTGAACCATCAGTCTCCTAGTTAGCAGTCAAATGCCTTAGGCACTATGCCCTCAGAGCTCCTGATAAGCACAGCTAAGTTACTTTACCTTTGCCTGCTTCCTCTTAATTTGTCTACCAAAAAGAAAAGATCTATGTTAATAGAATGACTAAGCTAGCCATTCCTATTTCTTTTCTTCTACTGTTGTTGTTGTTGTTGTTATTTGCCCTGAGTGGCCCCCCTCCTTGGGAACCCAGGCAGTATCACTACAGAAGTAGGATTGCCCAACCTTCCTTTGGAGGAGTGGCTGGTGTGTTTGAAGCGCCAGCCTTCTGGTTAGCAGTCAAGTGCCTTAGGCACTGTAAACACTTCATATGGTATCACTTTAATAAGCTTTCCAAAGCCCTTATGTGTTCATTTGCTTATTCACTAAATATCTGTTGAGGGTTGCCTTGTGCCAGGACCATTGTTGTTGTTGTTGTTATGTGCCATCAAGTCGGCCCCCACTCATAGCGACCCCTCCTTGGGTTTCCGAGGCAGTACTGCCCAACCTTCCTTCCGAGGAGTGGCTGGTGGGTTTGAACCGCCAGCCGTCTGGTTAGCAGGCAAGTGTCTTAGCCACTATGCTACCAGAGCTCCCGCCAGGGCCATTATAGGCTTTGAAATAAATGGAGCTTGTGACTCTTGCTCTTCTTTCTCTATTGACATGAGGTCTCATCTTATGTTCTATAATTTTACCCACAGCCCAGAAGTACAGTCCCAAAAGGAGTGTGTCCCAGCTGGAATGCTGAGATTGCAAGAGGGATAGAAGAAAAATTCTTCAGAATAATATATTTAGGTAGCTAAGACCATAAAATCCTATAGAGTTTATTCCTTTACCAAGAGCCAACACAGATCAGATAGTTGCAAACAATTATGTACATGAAATAATTTTTGAGACTAAACAAGTATTAGACTATAGCACGCATGGGCTGGCAGATAAGAAAAGGGACAGGGTAGGAATAGCCTTATGAATCACACAACCAGTGTGAAAAATAATCAGTGATGTATTTCATTTTCTCTCGATTGTCTTTTGACAGCATGCATGATCCTCAGGATCAGGAGAGCTCTTTCCTAGGGAACTCACTGAAGATTGGCTTGTAAGAGACTACATGCATGAAAGAATTCAGAAATGTTAAGCAGACTGAAAAGAACCAATAGTGGCTGCTACCCTGCTAACCTGCGCAGCAGCCAGTGCACTCTTGTGGTCTTCCAAAGTCACTACAAGTTGTTCATGCTCGGAGAGTAAATTCTTATGCTGTTGCTACACAAGAAAGAATTTTACATGTTGAGCTTTAATATCCTACGACAATTTCTCTTTGGCTGACAATGAATGGTATGAACACCCAAATGTTGCTTGTTAATTTATTTATTTGTCTGTTTGCTTGTTTGTTGTTGCAACATTTGCTAAGTTTAAAAATAACTGTTGAGGCAACACTACAGTTTATGTAGTATTCCAAAATTTAAAATATGTTACCAAAATATTAAAGCCACATGAAAAAATCACAACCAAAGGAGCAAATTTTTCATTCTTAACAAAGCTTGTTTATTAAAATTCAACCATCTATAACAAAATAATTGTAATGGTATTGAGGAAAATATTTTGATTGTCAGATAATTTTTTTAGCTTAAGAGTAGAAGTGGTATATTTCAATTTATACAAAATCCAAAACAACACTATGGATTTGGAAAACAGGTCAATTAGGGGATGAATTTTAAATGTCATCCTACAAAGTAAAGCAGACAAACGCTAGACAGTAAAATGTTTGATTTTACCTTCACATCTTGAAGCTGTGTATGCATGTCCTGGTGAGCTTTCCTTAGTTGTCTATTCTCTTCTCTCAAATTATACACAGTTTCTATTTTAGAAAAACAAAAATTATGTGTAAAGCTAATAAGTTTTCAGACTTAAGATTTTATTACCTTCATGTCCAAATCTCACATAACTTGATTTAGAATTTGTTTATTAGAACTTGACAGTATAATATTCCAATTCAACAAAACTGTATCATACTGGGATGTGACATGGATTTAGGTGGACATCCCAATGCAATCTGGTTCAGTAGGTGAAATACTTTCAAACAAGCTACACATCATAGAAGAATGTAAGGATTTTTAATTACTTAGGAGTTTAACAGTTAAGAAACAATCCCTTATGATTAAAGTGTAGTAAGTCAGATTCTTCACAAATCAGAAATGAAGTTATCAAAAAGTACAGACCCTATTTCTCAAAACATAAATCATTCCCATAGACCTTAGAGTATTTCAATTACAAAGACAACTCAAGAGAAAGAGATGTAGGCACAGAGAAAGACACCCCACTTACCTGTTGCTATGGATTGAATTGTGTTTCTCAAAAAGATGCATGTAAATCCTAACCCCTATCTCTGCAGATATAATCCCATTTGGGAATAGGGTTTTCATTGTTACATTTATGAGGCCCTATCAGCCTAAGAACAGAAAAAGAGGCTATTAGGCAGACACAGACAAGCAAGAACTAATGAGGGAAAAACAGATGCCATGTGGAGATCTTCAAGAGGACCATCAGAGAAGCTGAGGCAATGCTTCCCCACCAAGAGTGGGCAGAGAGAGTCTTCCCCAGAGCTAGAGCTCTGAATTTGGAGTTCTAGCCTCCTAAATTGTGAAAAATATATTTCTGTTCATTAAAGCCAGCCACCTGTGATATCCGTGTTACAACAGCCTAAAAAACTGAGACACCTGCTTAGAAAATTCTAAATATTTTATTCTTTCTTCTACCATTGAGTTCTTGACTGATCCAAATATCTACCTCTATAGCTATGTTGTACTTGTTGTTATGTGCCATCGAGTTGGAGCCGACTCATTGCAACCCTTTCTTGGGTTTCTGAGGCAGTATCACTACGGAAGTAGATTGCCCCATCTTCCTTCTGAGGAGTGGCTGGTGGGTTTGAACCGCCAGCCTTCTGGTTAGCAGTCAAGTGCCTTAGGTACTACGCTACCAGAGCTCCGAGAAAAGTTTTTTCCTAGGGATAGTGTGAGATTGTAGCAGCCAGAGTACAGTCCTAACATCTCCTTAATCCCAAATCCTACCACTAGGAAACAAACTCATGGTAAGTTTCCCACATTCCCTAAATACAGACAACAGATGTAATTAACTGGCACCCTTTGTGTCAAATGCAACCCACAGAGTTTTTTTTTTAGCCCCTGCTGTGTTGGCCTATACAGGGTCTTCCACCTTTGAATAACTGTCACTGCTTAAAAATCAAGAATCTGAGTTTAACAGGATCTGGCAAAACTAGGCCAATTTTGATGTGACAAAACACTGATGGAGTTGAGTGGCAACACAGTGACCATATAATTAATTTTCCAATGCAAGATACACTTGGGAGTAGAAAGGGTGTGCTGTTAATAATTATGCTGGGACTGTTCTAGGCAAAGGTCCCTGGGTTGCACAAAATATTTATGTGACTAGTAACTAAAAGGTTGACAGTTTGAACCCATCCAGCAGTGCTACAGAAGAAAGGCCTGATGATCTGTTTTGGTTAAAATTATAGCCAAGAAAGCCCTTCAGAGATCAGCTCAGTTCACATGTGGTTGCCATGAGTTGGAATCATCATTTTTCACATACACTATGTGCCTTCTAAACCATTCCCACCTTTTAAAAGTATTTAGCAATTGAGTATTTGGTCATACACTGTGTTGGTTCCTTTTTCCAGGTCTCAGAGATATGCAGAGAGGTGAAATATTTTGTTCCATTTTACTCAGAAAATACTTGTTGATAGTTATTGATAATTATGAAGGCATGTAATATTTAATAATATATACTGAATGTTTATCACATGCCACTAACAGTTCTAGGTGCTTTACATAAAGTATTTAATATTTACACAAACCCTATAGAGTTGTTAATTTTTATGATTATCCCAACTATATAGATGAGGACAATGAAGACTACAATGATTACACAACTTGCCCATGGTCACATAACTAGTAATTAGAGAAGCCAACATTCATCCTGGCAGTCTGGCTCCAGAGCCTGAGCTTTTTGCAGCTACTACTAGTTCTCAACAGCTGGAAAGAAAAGTCTCTCAGCCCCCTTAGAGAATTTTAGAATATGTGGGGCAATTTTTCATTGTCACAATGACCAGGGAGCATTGAGGGCACTTCGTGGGCAGGGACCAGAGAAGCTGTGTCTTGCCACACATATAAGAACTATCTTGTCCTAAATGGCCATGTGCCTCACTGAGAAACAAGTATTCTAGTATGCTTCCCTAAAGAAACCCCCCAAAATATGGATAAATGTGATAATACTACAGAGCAGGAAGTGGCTGGTAAAGAACCACATGATAAATCAACCACTATGGAGCTCTGGTAGCATAGTGCCTAAGGCACTTGACTGCTAACCAGAAGACTGGTGGTTCAAACCCACCAGCCACTCCTCACAAGGACGATGGGGCAATCTACTTTCGTAGTGATACTGTTTCGGAAACTCAACGAGGGGTCACTATGAGTTGGGTCTGACTCGACGGCACATAACAACAACAACAACATGAAAAAACAAAACAAAAAAAGTCTAATAAAACATTAATATGAGCACTTATTTTCACACAAACAGGCTAATTAGATTTTCAAACACCTTTTAGCTTAGAAAGTTCTTGTTCTTTCTCCTGTTGAAGCTCCAAGTATTTCTGCTTGTGGTCATTAAACGTTCTACTGAAGTCTTCTCCTTGTTTGCGATGCTCCTCTTCCAAGTCACTATGTTGTTTCTTTAGCTCCTCATGTTGACTCTGCAAAGATGAAAACTTAAGCAGAGATATATATTCTATACATAAATTATATAAGAAACTATTTCTTGAGAGTCTAACTTTTCTCTTGCAAGAAAGAACTAATGAAAACACAGGCCTCATTTTCCTGAGGTTGCTTTTAATTTGTGCAGCTCTCCCTCACTTCCCCTACATTTCATATGAATACTTTAGGATTATGGCCAAAAATAATTCTCCCCTTAATTTTTAACATTAATAGGAAACAAAAAGTTGGCATAAGAGATAGAGAAAAATAGTTATCTGGGGAAATTCACAGACTCAAATTACTGTGGAAACAAGGAAAGCTAATGGCAAAATTATCTCTCCACAGATGTCTGGACTTCCTATTTCAATCTGATACTTCCTCAGCATATAACTGATTTCTTCTCTGGTTCCCAACCTTCTCTGGTAACCCAGTTAAAAAAAAAGATTGGAAAAAAAAAGTTATTCCCTTTTTGAGGCAGTGATAAATTGATTGTTTATAGAATGATTCTTATCGTCCTCATTCCTGATTATACTACTACACTGTAATCACAATCTAGATAAATTCTACAGTCACTAAATGTTTAATGTGAAAGGACTGTCTGCTTTAATTTATGCACTGCATTCTTGATAACAGGAAAAGTTCAGGTTTCAATAAAAAGTATGTGCCCTACCTGATACAGGAGAAAAGACAATATTAAACAAAAACTAGGGGGCAAGGGGGCCCGCGGCATGGTTTGCATGCTGTGCAGAACGGCAGAATGGCATGCTGCTCATCTCTTCTAGCTTGACATAAACAATGAATCTTTTTTTTTTTGTCTTCCTGAATCTCAGTAATGAGTTTTATCCAAGGACTAAGGAAGGAGAATCTGTAAATATAAATTGTGTTCCTGTGGTAGGTGAAAGAGTATTTATTAAATGCAGTAACATGAAGGAAGCATTTTAATAGGTATAGTATCTAGTCTAACATAAAAGAAAATGTCTAAGGAAAACCATTGTGAGAAATTAAAACAAACATAAACCTTAAAGGGCATACAGAAGAACAATAAAAAATCAGGTGACCAGAGTATCTGATTTATAAGAAAATGTATAATAAGCTAAATATGTTCTTTGCAATCAGGTGATAAATATGATGCGACATTATAATTATACATAAGTTACACTAAATATGACTTAAAGACACCACATTATTATTATACAAATCAACTTTCTGTAAACTTTCTCTAATCATTTTAAAGACCACTACATTCATCAGTTGAAATACTAGTTAATCCTTTCACTCATGAAGAACAATTTTAAATTACTCACTTTCAACATCTGATGTTGGACATTCAATGCACTGTATCTGCTATTGGAATCTTGCTGTAAATTGAAAAGAAAGTAGTCAACACAAAGGTAAGAAATGTAGCTCTCCTGCTAAAAAACAGCTTAAAGCTCTTAACAGAAGATTGTCATTAATTTCACTTGTTGTTGTTGTTATGTGCCGTCGAGTCTCCCCGAGTCGGCCCCGACTCATAGCGACCCCTCCTTGGGTTTCCGAGGCAGTATCACTACGGAAGTAGGATTGCCCAACCTTCCTTCCGAGGAGTGGCTGGTGGGTTTGAACCGCCAGCCATCTGGTTAGCAGGCAAGTGTCTTAGCCACTATGCTACCAGAGCTCCCAAGCTGAAATGTATTCTAGGCTTGAATCAGGCTATCTCTGGGGCCATTTCCTGATTTTATAACAGAAATGAAGTTTTAGTATTGTCATACTCTGCTAGATTTTAGTAATGAAAAAGCAGCATACAGAATCATAAAATGGTAGCTTAGATGGGCCCTTAGAGATGATTTAATCCTATCAATCATATTCAGGAGAACTGAGGCCAGATATACAGGAGAGCTTCTCCTGAGAAAGGGAGTCACTACACTGTCCTTGGTGTACAAGTTAAGGGAAAAGAGGAGATAAACCATGCAGGACCATCCCTCACAAACTTAAAATGGTTCAAGTGAGAGAAAAGGTATTTTACTTCACTGAGCTTCAGTGGGTAGGAAATTCTATATACATTATTTTACCCCAGTGCGACTCAATTCCAGAGTGAGAAACAAACTTAGGAAAATTAAGGAAGACACATGAAGGTAAACATCTTGTGTAAGTAGTAGAACCAGGACTGAAATTCAAGTTGATGTCCAAGTTCCATGTTCTTGTAGTATATACATTTGTGTCCGGTGGATGTATCACATTTTCACAGCCCTGAGCAGCCAGAACTGTCAGTATACCAAGGGATCCTGCAATGCTTTCTATCCTTACACTGTGTTGTATTATCTTTACCCACCCCTTTGCTTTACCCTGCTGCCAGGACAAGCACACACTCAAACACTGTCTTTCATATTTTTGCAGCTTCTAAAATGAACTGCATTTTTCCTTTATTACTTTATTTTATTGCTTTAGTACTTTATTTTAATTAATAAGGAAATTATATTATAACATGTACAGCAGAGAGTCACAGTGCTGGCTAAGCTTTTAAAAGCAAGTAAGAATCAGAAACTGATAGGTTCCCAGGCTACCCAAGGAATTGGTTCGTTTCAGTTTTAATGCCCCTAAACACCAATATTTCACTCAAGTAATACTTATTTTCTTTAGAGTAAGACTTGTTTTTCTACAGTTAACTCAGACTTTGAAAATATTTTAAATGCCAGTATTATTCATTCATTCAATCCACAAACGCTTTTAATACCTGTTGGAGTTCAGGTACTATGTCTATGCAAACAAATGTAAATATTACATTCCATGGAAAAGAGAGACTAAAAACAAATGAATAAATGAATAAAAATAATCTTTTTACCATTGAACATTGAGGGAGGTTATTCCAAATTTATCACTGTTAACAGATTAAATTGTGCCCAAAAAAGATGTATTGAAATCCTAACCCCTGTACCTGTGAATGGAGTCCTGTTTGGAAATAGGGGCTTCCTTTTGTTATGTTAATGAGGACATACAGGAGTAGGGTGGGTCCTAAACCTAATCTCTTTTAAGTGCTGTCATATAAAGAGGAGTAGAGACACAGAGAAACACACACACACACACACACACACACACACACACACACAAGGAAAGACAGCCAAGAAACCCCAAAAGATGGCCAGAACTACAGGATCAAAAAGAACTCAAGGATCTTCCCCTAGAGCCCAGAGAGAGAGCATCCATGCGCATGCATGAGCCTAGCTCTGCAGATGCCCTGAATTCAGACTCCTTGCCTCCAGAACTGAGAGACAATAAATTCCTATTATGGCAGGCCTAAGAAACCAAGACAATCGCTATCATCAATAACGTGATAAGCAAAGGTAAGTTTTAAAAGAATGAGTATTAAAGTTTTCCTCTCGGAATTGTTTGGTAGTAAAAAAACATATTTTAGCCCAACAACCCTAGTGATAAATAGAATGAAATATTTTGCAACTATATTTCCCTCTCCTTCAAGTTCCATAAGAAAAAAGTTAAGAGAAAATAAACTTACTCTTCCTTTATTTAATGTTTCCTGTGCTTCCAGCTTATAAACAAGGAAATCTAAGAAATAAAAGATGGAGAAAATGGAGCGCAAGTTAATTCATTGTGGAATTTAAAAACATTTAAAAAAAAACTAAAAGAAAACTTTAGTCAGTCCTGCAAAAAATAATCTAGTTTGAAAACAATCTACTTGGTGATGTACATTCTTCTTTTTACCACTTAACGCTTTAATAAGAGATGAAAAGAACAATCTTCCTCCTTGCCTTACAGCTATAAATCTTACATCAACAAAACCCACATTATAACCAATTGATCAAAAAGTGCAGGTAGAATACCTCTTTGATTAACTCTTCCCCAAATTGGGAGGGAAAAAAAGCAGCCCACCTGAAAGCATGGACAATTTATTGCTATCCACTAGATGGCACACTATAATCATTCAGGACTTGAGAAATCCAGCCTTTGAAACCATCTTTACTGTTCTTAAAGCTTTATTATCCACTAGATGGCTATATAAAATCACTGAATATTTGAAGACAAGGGAAATACAAATCCTATCAAAGCATTTTAATTATGTTAAACTTCCATATCTTACATAGGATTAATCCAAGGGTCAGTAAAACATGCTAACCAATACGATTCTCCTCTGCTTCCCCCCACTTCTATCCCATCAACATAATCAGACAGAATAACTCGAACATAAATCTGAAGATTTACTACAAAACACAAATAAATAATTAAAAATGGGAATGAAGAAAGTTCAAATTATAAGCTCTACAAGTCCTGTGCTATATAGAAAAAGGTCAATAATCTTCCTAATACCTGTGCTAAGTGTTAATTTTTCAAACTGAACCTATTAGCTGTGCCAATAAAAGCCTTCAAAAGAAAAAGAAAGTGCATAACTTCAAAGATACCAGACTATGTGATCAACTATATATATTCTGGACCTTAGATGTTGGACCTTGGACATGCTGTTCCAAGTATTAATAACATGTCTATAACATTCAGATAATAATGATTTCTGAAATAATATGTAAGAATTACCAATATATAAACTACAAGATAGCATGAACTGAATGAAGGATTCTAAATCCAATACTGAGCATGAGTTTTTGTGCAATGCATAACATATTGCTTGATAGCTCTCTTTCTCTATCCATCCATAACACTGACTTCAGTTTGATGTTAGAAATTTCTTCACACTAAAAAATAGTAAAGCCAAGTACATAATGTTTCAAAGAAGAATATGGTTAAAAAAAAAAAAAAAAGGCACCATAAATTATTTATTTACCTTCCTTTGCCTTCTTATGTTCAAGTCTTTCCTTTTGCAGGGATTTCTCTAATCTCGATCTGTGTTCATACACAACTAAAATAAATAAATAAAAGAGTTAAATTTTGTCTAAGAATGAACAATTCTAAAGTTAATATCATTTTTCAAAACAGGGTTAACTTGGAAGTAAAACAGCTTAGGGTCCTGTTGTAGGTTGAACATTGTGTCCCTCAAAAATATTATGTTCATGTCCTATTGCCCACTGCCCGTGAATGTGACCTCATTTGTAAACAGAGTCTTTGCAGATGTCACCAAGTGAAGATGAAGCTGTACTGGATTAGGGTAGACCCTAACCCAATGACTGGTATCTTTCTGAGGAGGAGATATGGACAGAGACAGAGAGAAGGAGAACATCATGTGACAACAGAGGCAGAGATTGGAGTGATTTATCTACAAACCAAGGAACACTAAAACTGCAGGCAAGCACAAGGATCAATCTTCCCCTTGAGCCTTCAGAAAGAGCATGGCACCTTGATTTCAGACTTCTTGCCTCTTGAACAGTGAGAGGATAAATTCCTGCTGTGTCGTTGTTGTTATGTGCCATCGAGTCAGCCCCAACTCATAGCGACCCCTCCTTGGGTTTCCGAGGCTATATAACTATGGAAGTAGATTGCCCAACCTTCCTTCCGAGGAGTGGCTGGTGGGTTTGAACCGCCAGCCTTCTGGTTAGCGGTCAAGTGCTTTAGGTACTATGCTACCAGAGCGCCTTCCTGCTGTGTTATGCCATGTAATTTGTGATAATTTGTTATGGTAGCCCTAGGAAACCAATACAAGCCCTTATAAATTCAAATAGAGAAGTATGTACTGTAAGCCCCCGCTCTGCATAAAGAATAGACATATTATTATACTGGGCTGACTCTGATATAGCATGCCCCTTTATGGAACCAAGACTCTGAAAGAGGCTTCTGCTTTCTTTGTCAGCTGCTTTTCCTTCTCTGACTCTTTAAATGTCAGTGTCTCTGTGAGGGTTCCTGCACAATTGTGCCCACTCTCATGGCTTCAATCACCATCTGCACAGCATTCACCCCCATGCCTCTCCCCTTAAGCACTAGATAAGTATTTCCTAAAGTATACAATGTTTGCACCTACATACCTCATAAGTACTACAAAGTCAACATGATCAAATCTGAATTAAGGTTGCTTGGACAGGTGAGGAGATCTCAGTAGCTACCACCAATGCCTAGGGGATGAAGGAGAAGGCACAGTCCCCCATGTCAAGGGAATGAGAGAACCACAGAAATGAGGGAGTCAGGGACTCTCTAAAGAACCTGCAAAAGTGACCCCAAAAAATTAAGTCAAGTTTAATATCTACTAAGGTCACAAGAAATCGACAGCAAACAGATGTCCATGCTATAAGATCTTCCTGCACCCAAGGGAGGGAAACAGATGAAGAAGTAGATGATAACTCTCTTCCCCCACTACAGGCTTCACATCTATCACAAGCAGGACCTGCAGAGAGGGTGAAGCTTTACCTCTGAATGAACAAAATTTGTATTATTGCACTGAACTCCACTGGACATAACAATTATCGAACCAACACTGCTATGTGGATAAAAGTTACTGAAAGATCTTTATTATTATTACTAATCTGAGAAAGCCTATATAAGTAAGTAACAAAGTTTGTCTCAGCCTTCCTCCAGACATAGAAAACCCTGCCCCACAAAGTGATTTGAACAGGAAATAAATTTAAGAAGAGGCGAGAACAAAATAAATGTTTGATGTACTTTTCAAATCCTGTTTGTTCAGCATTATGGATACATGACCTCATTCCCTGGCAAACTAAGTCAAATCTGTTACTTGGTTCTTTTACTAGTCTCAAGCTCTCTGTGAATACTTTAGAATTTCTTCATCAATCATCTGACTGATGATACACAATACACAGAATTGCCCCAACCCTTTTGGACGTGTCCAGAGGACCACTGTCATAGCAATTCCCCTTGCTTGCCACTGCTATGACCCCTTGCTGCTGAAGGGATTCCCTGTCCCTGTCCATTTTCCATCATCACAGCTGCCAGTTACCAGCTACTGCTGTCCTCCTTCCAACATAAGCTATCACCTCCTAAGGTTTCCACACTGCCTCTCCCATCTTGTCATCCCATATAAACCCTCCATTCCCAGAGCTCAGTCTACTACCACCACAAGCTCAACCTCTACTCACACCTCTGCTACATTCTGTCCACAAGAATGCCTCTAACCATCCACACTGGTGTGGCTGCAGTCTCAATGGCCTGCATGCCTACCCTAATCTCATCTTTCCCTTCATCCTCAGCCTCCTAACTCTAGTCATTGCAATCCCTGTCCCATCTTCTTCCTTCACCAGGGTTCCAATTCTATTCACCAGACAGTCTCCTCCCTAGCACTGCAGAGAAATACATTGCAAGTTAGCAATGCTGAGTATCTGTCTACATGCACCTGGCACCACACTGTAAGTGGAAATGCACAATGAACAGACATGGGTTTGCCTTCAAGAAGCTCAAGCCTAACAAGGGAGACAGAGGTGATTTGCAAACATTAAAGCCAAGGGCATTTGGCATACAGAAGTGTACTTAAGCTCCTCAAAAGAGAGGGATGAGCTCTGGGTTGGAGAGCAGCAAGGGAAGGCTTCTCAGAGGTTGTGAATTCTGGGCTGGCTTTGAAAGTAAAGTGCAGTCTGGTCAATGGAGGCACTAGTGGAGAAAGGATCAACTGGAGGATGGATCACAGGTACAAAGGCACACCGAGGTGTGAAAATGGACTAAAGGCAGTTATGCTCCAAAAAGCTTGGTCCATTGTTGAAAAATTCTATCTTTCACATCTAAAAGTCAATGTCTTAAACCCAAGAGGTATCCTGAATTGGTTCTAATAGCATTATTTTGAATGCTATTTGAAAGGAGGCAAGAGATACATAAAGATTAGCACTACAGATCCTCACTGAGCACCAAAGTCTGAACCCTGAGCTTTTGAGAACTTCAGTCTGGTGAGGGAGACTTACAGGGAAAAAGACAAATTACAATACTATCATGATATAACAGAGACAAAACAGGATACTATAGGCACACTTACCCTCCCTAGCTGGGAGGAAAAACCCTCTACCTTCAAATCCATTGGCCAAAGCTCCCATGGTCTAGGATACGAGGTCACAGGAATACAAACTTGACAGTTAAAAGGGAGTGTTGGTCACTGACTGGGCATATTATCGATTGTATTTTAGCAAACACATGCATGTCTTTCAAAGGAAGGAATCGGCAAAGTAATCAAGATCTTGTTCTACTGGAGCTGAAGTGGGAGCAGTGGGTCCCAAGTGTGGGAAGTCTTGAAAGGAGGTAAGAACCATTAGGGGAAAACAATTCCAGGCTACCAACACTCATGGTAAGTTCAACAAGAACAGCAGCATGGTTCAAAAAGGCATTCTCAAACTCTATTAAACAAAGATAGTGGGGAAAAGTTGAACTTAGACATTTCAACCCTATGAAATTCTTCTTTACTAATCAAATATAGCAGTAATCCCTGGATACTCATTGTTGCAAACTCAATGCTGTATGGTGCTAGGTCATTAGATATGATTATCTTAGGCTAAGAAGTCCTGGGGACACAGTCAGTAAGCACTTAGCTGCTAACCAAAAGGTCAGCAGTTCAAACCCACCAGTTGCTCTGAGGGAGAAAGATGTGACAGTCTGTTTCCATAAAGATTACAGCTTGGAAACCCTATGGGGCAAGTCTACTCTGTCCTATAGGGTAACTATGATTCAGAATTGACTGGATAGCAATGGAGATTTTTGTTATCTTAGGCTTAGGAAGTAGAAAGCTCATCAGCATGATTTAATCTCAGTAAGATTGGAGAGCCAACTTGATTAAACCAAGGAGAGAGCAAGTGTCAGGGGCAGGGAAGAGTGAAGATTGGGAGGTATGGAGATAGTGTTTCATTCTTTATTTTCTTCCTCAGAATTCAGTCTGGAACGATAAGGCACTAACTACTGGTCTAGAGTAACCATTTATCAAACTGAATCACAAAACTATCTTTGGACAGTTTTACACCGAATGGGAATTTATACACTCAACATATTAATAGCAGCATGTCAAGAGCTAGGAGAACCTAGAATACATAGACACAAACATTCATTAACTATATAGTTCCTACGTGATATTTACATAAAGTAGAGCTTGTTTGTGGATTACAGTTAAAATCCAAAACCTTATGAAATCTAAGACACATATATACAAATACATGAATGTCATCACTAATAACAAACTCTAATGCAAAAGAATGTGCTTTTGCAAATATAACAGGAAAATAAGATGTGATAAATAGGAATACAGGATCTAGGTAGAAACCATGAGGTAACTGGGCTATTAATATCATCTTACTCAGAACTGACCAAGCCATTACTTAGACCAGTATCTAGTCCTGATTTAAAAAAAAAACAACTCATTGCCATCAAGTCGGATCTGACTCATAGAGACCCTTTCTGAGGTGGTATCATTATGGAAGTAGATCGCCCAATCTTCTTTCTGAGGAGTGATATAACTTAAGAATTCAGGAGGGTATGAGATTGGAGAGTATCACTGAGAAGAAGGACAAAGAACAGCACAGCAACAAATGGAAAGTCTTCATCAGACTTTGAAAAAGGAAAACAAGCAAAAATGGTGTCTTGTCAGTAAACACCACACTATTTCCCTCCAGCATCTAAGTGCTTGAAAAACTAGGTGCAGCAGTTTGAATTAGGGATTTTGGTGCTCTGAACAGCTCACTGAATCATAGTACACCAAACATAGGAGAGCAGAATTAGAGGAAAGACACAGGGAGATTATTTAAGAAAGAGCTACCTGGTGGAGGACGGATGGGCAGCTGAGAGAGGCCACTGGAAACTTCCCTGGGGCAGTCACTAATTGGCGGGCAAGGGTGGCCACCTGAGATCCCTGGGAGCCAAGAAATAAGACACCCTATATCTGCATACCAGTGACCACTCCAATATCCCAGCAGGCAGCCCCAGGGATCTGCCTCCAGCAACTGATTTTGTCGGTAATTTGGGTCATCTGGGTGCAGGCGGGCACATGCA